CCTGGCCCATCCACCCATCCACGCATTCACCCACTCATCGATCTATTCATCATCCATCCATCCATCCCCAACCCATCCACCCATCTGCTCATTCATCCACTCGTCCATCCATCCATCATCCATCCATCCATTCCTGGCCCATCCACCCATCCGCACATTCACCCACTCATCGATCTATCCATCATCCATCCATCCATCCCCCGCCCATCTACCCATCTGCCTTTTCACCCACTCATTGATCCATCTATCATCCAGCCATCCATTCCTCACCCATGCAGCCATCCGCTTGTTCACCCACTCATCAATTCATCCATCATCCATCCATCCTTCCCCCCCTCCACTTCATCCGTCCATCCATGTGTACATGCATACATTCACATGCACACTGGGCACCCAGAGTGGCTGCTAGCCTGTATCCAGCAGGTAATCAATAAATGCATATCCATGTACAAAATCTATGGAGTATGGTGCATTTGTACTCAAAATGGAACACATTTGGGGCTAAATTCAAACGCATGATGCTTTTCATTGATTTATGCACTCCTTTAACAAACTTAGGCTCCTGACTTCAGTCACGAGCCAAAGCACATTTCAGTTGCACGTTCTTCAACCTGGGTCATTTCTCCCAGGAACATTTGTACCCTTCAATATTTAATAACAAGAAAAGGCCGCTGTGCACTTAGCCTATTTCTTTTCCTCTGTGAGGCATAAGAGTCTGCTTTCTGCAAGTAAGCACTGCAGAAACCGAGCGGGGTTTAACACGACCACTTAGCTATTTCACAGATGGAGAGCTCAGGCCCCAAATAGCTACCCACTCTCCAGTGGGCGAGTCAGAAACTGGACATCTGGGTCCAGCCTGGGAGCACAGCTCTCTCCATACCCGTTCACTGAGTTTCTATCTCAGGGTCTAAGTCCAGCCCACACCCTTGAGGTAAAGATGGCTTGGTAAGAACTATCTGTAAGTACCATGAACAGCAAATGCCAAAGATGCATATACAGCCGTCCATCAACAGGGAACACGGGGTGAAACCAGGCCCTGGCCAACCACAGACACAGACGTGAAACAGAACAGGGATTTCCTCTGTGCAGACCCCAGCAGACTGAAGTCTCAGAAAGTGTGAGCGTGCTGACACTCACCCAGGAAGGAAGTAAGAACAGCCTGGCATGTCTGCATCTGTAAAACTCGCGGTGGGAGGATGGAGCACACAATTACAAGAGAACTGGCCAGCTGTGGGGGCAGGGAGAAAGGGGTCATGACCTGGAGGGCAAGAAAGAGAGGGGTCAGGGAGGTGCACTTGGCTTCTCTGACTATGACTTGACCTCCAAACCATACAACAGCTTTATTCAACTCTAGGAGTACAATTAACTTAACTTTAAGGAGAACTCTGCACAACACGTGTAATGGGCCAAGACAGCCTGTGCACCTCCTGATGTGCACTGGGGACTCAACATCACTGTGTCTGTGACCCTCTGGACAAGGTCACATGGCTGGAGTCCCCTCACGAGAACAAACCCAAATTCAGGACATCCTACAAAATAACTGACCTGTGCTCTTCAAGGATGCCAACCTCGGGGACACAAGGGCAGACAGAGCAGATGCTCAGGTGAAGGAGGCTGAAGAGCGTGGCAGCTGAACGCAGCTCACAGCCCGGGACTTTCTTTTGCCAACAGGGAAGTTGGAATAAGGTCTCAGACCAGATGATAGATTGTACAGTATTATATCAACACTAACTTCCCACCTTGGATAACTGTCCTGTAGTTGGGTGAATATCCTTCCTTCTAGGAAACACATGCCAGAGTGTCTCAAGCTCAGAAACACAGTGTCTGCAGCTCAGAAAGGATGGAAGAAGGGTGGGGGGTGGATGGAAGGGGGGGTGATGGATGGAAGGGTGGTAGGTGGATGGATGGAAGGGTGGTGGGTGGGCAGGTGGGTGGCTGGACATATAGCAAAGGAAGAGAGAGACAAATGTAAAATGTTAACCTTTAGGGAATAAATGGATGACAAGTATACAAGAATTCTTTATACTATTTTTGTAACTTTCCTGTGGTCTGAAATCATGTCAAAATAAAGTTGTTGTTTTTCTAAAGAAATCTCTAAAAATCTAAATCAAAAAGAAACAAGTGAGCCCAGCACTGTATTGACTTGACGGCACAGCCACAAAGACAGGAAACAATTCTTGCAAGTAACTACCAGACACAGTAAGGCCACACCTCTCCAGCCCAGCAGGGCCAACCCCAAGGACAACAGGAATGGAGGCAAAGGCAGAGGGGCCGTGGTGACCCTGCACCGGCATCAGTTCTGGGACGTGTGTGCACTGTCCAATAACACAGATAAGCAGAGCTGGTGACACTCACTGAGAACCAGGAAGCCAGCAGCAGGGACAGACACACCTAAAGTCTCTTGAGGTTAGACAGACACCCAGGAGTCCTGGGTGTGAATTCTAATCAGAGTACCTGTGTGAATTTTCAGCCCTGGCCACTAGGTCAGGATGTTGTGACCAACCAGCAGCAACAAATGTGTTAGAATCCTTATTTAGGCCATAAATATCACTCTACCAAAGGGGACCAGGGCTTTTTAGAGAAAGGTTAATTTGAGGACTGGAATGGAAAACGGCTGAGGTGAGCCTGGGATTACCTTGTCACATGAAAAAGCAAGGACTCTCTAACTCACAAGGGACTGTGTCAAAGGACCCAGAAGCCAATGGAAGAGGCTCCCCCAGCCCAGCAGCACGATGTGAGCACCAATCAGATGATAACCACCATGGGCTGGGCACTCAGCACTGTGGGAGGCTGAGAGGGGAGGATCACTTAAGTCCAGGAGTGTAAGACCAGCCTGGTCAACATATCAAGACCCCATCTCTAAAAAAAAATAGAAAAATTAACCAGGCAAGGTGGCTCATTCCTAATGTCCCAGCTGCTCATAAGGCCGAGGCAGGAGGATCTCGAGCTCAAGAGTTTGAAACCACATGAGCCATGATGATGCCACTGCACTCCAGCCTGGGTGATGGAGTGTTTAAGACCCTGTCTCAAAACAAAAACAAACCTCTACGGTGGTAAAAGCACACCAAATGTGTTAAACCTGTGATCGCAAGATGAAACCAAAAAACCGTATAAAAGCCTGCCACCCTCCCTGGTCACTGCTGGAAGGTCCTTGAAGTAGAGAACTCAACTCATTATCTTGAAAGCTGGAAAATGCCTGGGGAAAACTCAAGCCTTTCCTATACGTGCCACACCGGGTAACCGAACAGCCAGCAAAGGAAAGAGTTTGCAGAAATGTGTCCATTAATGCACGGAGAAAAGATGGCATGGGCAGTGATTACCAAGGTGGTGACACTGAAGACAGAGACCACCCCACAGAAGGACGCCCCCCACAAAGGAGTCCTCCCTCAAAAGGTCAGCCACACCCAGATGGTGCCTGTGGCTCAAAGGAGTAGGGCGCTAGCCCCATATGCTGGAGGTGGAGGGTTCAAACCCAGACTCGGCCAAAAACTGCAAAAAAAAAAAAAAAAAAAAAGCTTAGCCACACCCCTCACTGCTGAGGTGTGGGAAGCACCCGGACAGGTCCGCAGGGTCCAGAGCAGATGATCTGGTCAACCAGAGACAAAGAGAGTGAGATTGACCCCGGGTAGCCCCTGGAGGGGGCCCAGCCAGTCACTCTGCAAAGGCCTGTCTCATTGCTGTTTCAAAGAGGTGAAAAAAAATTATGAGACAATTAGAGACATCTGAGCCTACATTGGAGCGCTGATGAAAAACGGGTAGGGTTTTTTTTTTAGTTCTGATACTGGACTCATGGTTTTCATCTTTAAAACATACTGAGCTACCTACTAAAATATTTACAGATGGAATGAAAAGATTCTGGTTGGATTTGCTCCAAAATATCAGAGGTGGACAGAGGAATGAGATCCATGTGGAAGCAGGTGTGGGCTCACGACACTACACGCCCCATTACTATATATATTTAAAGTTTTCCATCATTAAAAAACAATGCCCAGAACTGCCTCCCCCGCAGCTGTCAAAGCTGAACCCTGTACTTTTACTTCCTGAGCTACCAGGGAGGGACATGCACCACGTCCTGGGCAGATACTCCTGGGAGAGAACCACACGTGCTGGCCCTACACTCTCCCTTCCTTCCCAACTTGCAAACCAACCAAAAACTCTGAAAATTCTGGGCTAACCATAGGGAATGCAAGGGACCCAATCCACTAACACCAGAATCTCCCCAGAACATTTCACTCCTTCCCCATGACACTCCACCCACAGAGGAAAGACACCCTCTGCTCCCCTGCCACCACCAACGAAATCCAGGTGCTGGGCTCCACGTGGCAGTCAGTGGAAGACCTGGACCCAGGAGGCGAAGGCCGGGTATGACATCTAAGCCCAAAGAGTCTCCCTGGGGCCGCGGCTGTCCCACCCACACCCTACATGTCCAGCGACGGCACTGTGTGGCTCTTCTCAGCCACAGCTCCTGACGGCACTGCAGCAGCCAACGTCCCCATCTCAGCCACCCCTGCCTCATCTTGTCCCCTCCAAGCACTTCCTGGTACTCACGTAAGAAGTGTTTTTCCAATAAGGCAATTTCCAGGTGACCTTTGATCTCATTCAGTCGATCAAACTCTGTGCGGTTAAAGTCCTGGACTCCTGCAGCCATGATGAGGGTCCCTGGACCAGCCTGGAAGGAAAACACCAAGAGCTCAGAGGCAGCCACTGCAAGCACCCTGTGTCTGACCGACTGGTCAGTTCCCTGAGAGGTGCCTGAGGGCCTCGGGACGGACAAACAGCAGCCTCTGAAAGGGACCAGCAGCTACAGCCTCTGGAATAAGGATGGCACAGTGGGCAGCAATGGAGCACCCACCCAGCACCTGCAGGAGCCCAGGACAGAAGATGCTGGGTCGGCCCCGACCCCCATCAGTCCACCCCAGACAACAAAGGTGCCCTCCAAGCTCGCATACAGCCAAGTAAAACCAGACAAGAGGCGCTGAAGTTCTCGATGGCTGTGGTCTCAATCTTGGGCTGCAAAGGGAAGACAGGCCCGGGACTGCGCCTGTCAGCGTCCCAGAGAGAGGTCGGAAGTGTGTCCACAGCCACCCAGGGCAAGTGAGTTGGGGAGAACAGCACAGCTCCCAGCAGAGGGATCTGAGGGGAGCAGAGCAAACTCCAAATGGGGCCTCGTCCTGTCTGCTCCACCAAGGGCCAGCTAGTGGACCACCACCATGCACTACCCCTGTGAGCCAGGCAGGCTCATGTGCATGCCACGGCTGCCTCACGCCCAGGAGGTGCTCGCAAAAGGAGAGAGACCACCACTGCCTGGGCCACAAAGTGGATAGGAAGAGCTGCCTCCCTGACCCTGACCGGGCAAGGGATGGTACACAAGTGCCCCACCACATAACAGTGCAGACCCAACATGTCCACCCTGGGTCCCTAAGGCTGGAAGGCCCATGCCAACAGCACTGTGACCTCACCATGCACACACACAGCTGCACAGAGGCCACAGGCTGGGAAGAAGGCATTGACATCAGGAACCCATCACCTGGGCAAGGCCCTCTGGCCTGAGGTTCCCCCTTCCTGGGTCCCTAACCTCCCACACACCCAGCTGCTCTTGGGCTGGGGCATGAGTTCCCAGGACAGGCTCCAGCTCAGGTCTATACCGTGGCCCTCAGAGCCTGGCTGGGATGGCACAGGAGAACAGGGGCAAGGGGTGGGTCTCAGTCAGGGTCATCCACCTGCCCTGCCCACCTGAGGGGCCCCCAGGCACTACTTGGAGTCAGTCCCTACGCTGACGCTGGCAGGTGGGGAGCAGACATGGGCACCTACTCTAGGCAGGCTGTGGGTACTGGAGCTGGCAGGGAGTCACGGGTGCCCATCGAAGGGGACAGTGCCCCAGGGAGGTCACAAGCCCACCCGTGCTGCAGCTGAGCAGTGCAGATGCTGGTCTGTGCACCAGCCATCCCAGAAACTCACAATGCATCTGTGGGGTTAGACTCAGGGCCTCAGTGTGCCTGGGCAGACCTTAGCATCCAAATATCCATCTAAATGACCATCCAAACACAGCCAGGCCTGCCTGAGCTCTCTGGCCTAGAAAAGGGTCACCTGAGCAGGCAGCGGCCTGGGTGCAGTGCCCACCCCACTCACATGCAGGAGGATCTGACCAAGCCTGCAGCACCCACATCCACCCGCACTCAGGAGGTAGCTGTCGCCAGCCCTCATCTTTCAGACAAGTCCTGGGACACAGCTCCTGGAGCCTGGGACCTGCTCCAGAATCACCAGAGGGAACGGCAGGGGCCAGAGAGGACATGGCCCAGCAGGGACAGCCGTTCACATCTAAAGTCCAAGTGTGCTAGACACTTTGGATGTTTCCTATGACACTTTCTAAAAATATCAAACACAGAAACTAAGGGCCACGTGCTGCCAGCCTGCCCCAGCCCACCTGCCCCCACGCACCCTGGGCAGCTTCAGGCCACCCAAGCGATGACCAGGGTGGCACTCGACTCCTGACTTCACCCCTTCTTGTCCACACGGCCCACTCCACCCATAGTTCCCGTCCCTATATCTTCCCCAGGGAATTTCTTCACATCTGTCTCCCCTTCCCCAGCTGCTTATCCATGTAGCTTCCAGAAGTTTCTCCACATTTTCCTTGCATTTGAGTCAAACCCAGCCACCCTGCTCTCAGCCATGGTAGGGCAAGGTCAGAGGTGGGAATGTGCCCATCTCAAGGAGAAGGTCATAGTGTAAAGTTGAATGGAGCGCCCCAGCTGGGCCCCTCTGCAGCCTTGCTCCTGCCCAGAGGGGCCCACCAGACCCTTCACTACCCTCTGCAGCCTCGCTCCTGCCCAGAGGGGCCCACCAGGCCTACCGCCACCCTCTGCAGCCTCGCTCCTGCCCAGAGGGGCCCGCCAGGCCCCCTGCCACCCTCTGCAGCCTCGCTTCTGCCCAGAGGGGCCCACCAGGCCCCCTGCCACCCTCTGCAGCCTCGCTCCTGCCCAGGGGGGCCCGCCAGGCCCCCTGCCACCCTCTGCAGCCAACTTTCAAGAACACTGTTAAATATTTCACTCACTCTTTCTGTTTACAGTGTCTTCCTGCAGGTGTGGAGGACAAGTGTGGCCTGTTAACCTTCCCTTTCGCTGAGACATGGAGCTCCAATGGTGACTCAGGTGAGCCCAGCCAGAGGATGGCCCAGGAGTGGGCAGAGACCACACAGGACAATCGAGGCCCTACCTGGGAGACATCCAGCACTCACTGTGAGCTATCCGACCCAGAAGTCACACAAGTAAGAACAAAATGCTCCCAGGTACCACCACACTGAAGACAGAAAACTCCCTACCCCCTGAGCAGCTCACCCTCCCCCACCTGTGAGACTGCCCTGCCCACCTCTCACCCACACCTGAGGACACCTGCCCAAAACCAGGCTGTCTTTCCCATGACGGAGTCCTCCTGGGGTTTTCTCAAGTGTGCTGGAGAAAGGCAGCCCTTCTCCTCTTGGTGACAAGGCAAGGTTGGGGCTCTGAGAAGCCAGTGGCCTCAGCCTCCACCCCGGGACTCCTGTCTGTCTGCAGCAGCAGCAAGGACATCAACTGCAGAGAAAGACAGAGTAGAAGCCAGACCCCCACTGCCAGGCTCCAACGGGTGATGACCCTAGAAACCAGTCCCCTGGCTGTGGTGTGGGCAGACCTTCTGATACTTCCTACATCCCATCCATGTGTCTTATCCCTGTAGGAATGGGGCAGGCAGGTTGGGGCCACCTGATCCCCACAGAGCCTGCAGCAGGCAGGCCTGAGAAAACTAGCACAGCAGCCTGAACACAGGGTTTAAGAGACCCGGGAAAGAGATGGGAGCTGGGAGGCTCTGTCCACCCCTGCCCACTGGAAGATGCACAGCAGACAGGCGGCTGCCAGGGGCTGGGGCAAAGGGAAATAGAGAGAGACCGCTAGAGGGTATGGCATTCCTTTTGGGTGACAAAAATGTTCTGACAGGGACTGCAGTAATGGTCACACAGCACTGAACACACTACAGAGCCCCGAGCCGCCCACCGTGGGCAGGACCACAGTCTGCCGTGTGGAAGCATCGCTGGGCCGTTGTTAGGAAACCACCCTGAGGCCACACAGGGAGGAGCACTGTACCCCAGGAGGGCCGCGGGAGAGTGGACTTGGGAGGAGCACCCACTGCACCCCCACCCCAGGGGCCTCGAGAGCGGGGCTGGAGCAAGGTCTCGATGCCACAAGAACAAGGCTTCACTGAGGCCGCAGGGGACTGGCACGGCTGTATGAACCATATTTCAGGGTCGTTAACAATGACAGCCACCCACACAGACGATGAGCTGGACGCAGGCCAGGCATTTCCACGCACCATCTCATTCCATCCTCCAAGCAGGCCTGGGAGGCAGACACAATTTCATTCCCTTTTATAACTTGGGATCCTGCAGCTTGGGCCAAAGTTAAACAGCCAAACAGCCCAGCCTCCCTGTGATCTGGGTCTGAGCTGCATTCAACATGAGCCCCAGAGCCAGGGCCCTTTCCTCATTTTCTCCCACTATGATTTTTTGTTTTGTTTTGTTTTAATAGAGACAGAGTCTCAGTCTGTCGCCCTTGGTAGAATGCTGTGGCGTCACAGCTTAAAGCAACCTCCAGCTCTTGGGCTTAGGTGATGCTCTTGCCTCAACCTCCCAAGTAGCTGGGACTCCAGGTGCCTGCCACAGTGTCCGGCTATTTTTTGTCGCAGTTTGGCCGGGGCCAGGTTCGACCCACCACCCTCATTATATGGGGACTCACTGAGCCACAGGCGGCATTCAGACACTGTGACTTTCTTCTCATGTGTCTGAGTACCTGCAGTGGCTTTCCTCCCCAGCTACCCAGGGCCCCAAGAAAGGGGAGCTGAGGTCCACATGCTGACCCTGCCCAGCCTCTTCAAGCATTTGCCTCCCCCCAACCTCAGCTACAGCCCAAGAAGCCAAGGCCCCTCCCACTTCAACATGTCACTCTGAAGACCCCACCTGGTGGACAGCACCAGCTGTCCAGACCACAGCCTGCCTTTCTCAGGAGTCCCTGCCCATTTAACCAGCACCACACCCTGGCAGTGTCCCCTGGCTCCTTCTGCCACCCCCAGAAGCCACCATCTCCAGGCCACTCCCCAGGGACCTACCCTGGAGCAGCTGGCTCTGACACTGACCCTCCCCTGCAGCGGCTCCTTGTGCCCCAGATCCAGATGTTGTGCCCCAAGTGAAGACCCCTGTGATGTGGCACCACCTGCTGCCCTCTGCCCTGGCCTCCAGCTCACCATCATGGCAGCCCCAGGGACAGGCCATCACCAGGTTGACAAAGCCACCTGAAGGCAGGACACGAAATCAAAGCTGCCCACCCAAACCTCACCATCCACCAACACCAAAGCACCACGCCTGCCACGCCCCTCCCCACCCAACACGCAACACATGGCCCCTGCACCAGCCAGAGCTTCAGAGCCTCTGGCAGCCCAGTTCCAGCTGTGGCACCAGCTGTATGTAGAGAACATGTCCAGAAAGAGGTACTTGGTCGGCCAGCTGGTTGGACTGTTACAGTGAGGGCAGTACCATGCAGCAGGCCCTACACTCTGCTATGACAGCACCTATGATCTACACAACTGCCCAGTGGTCAGTTGCTACCAGCCTGGGTGGCCCATCCGAGCCTGGCAACTGGTAAACGGCCAAGTGAGGATCTGACCCGGGGCCTTCTGCATCACCTCCCTGCCCACACCCTGCCCACCCCACCTCAGACACCACACACTGAGCACATCTCAGTATAGCTATTAGGAAGCCACCCTGAGGCTAGTGCTTGAGCCAGGGGTGGGGTCTGGGTCCCGACCAAGACACCCACAGCCCTGGCTGGACAGGCAAATGGGCAGGGTAGGGGCTGGGAGAACAGCCCAGCCTGGACTTTTGTATGAGACCCCTGGCCCCCCACTGAGCTTGGAGGCACATGTTGGGGGCAATTTGCACGCTCAGCCCAAAGACCATCGCCCAAGATTCATGGCCCACAGCCCTCCACACTGGTACCAGCCAGAGCCAGACACGACACAGCTCTCCCATCAAGCTACTGATGCTCTGCAGCACAAGCTGCGTGAGGGGTACACAGGGTGGCAGGGCACACAGGGCAGCAGCCAGTGCACCAAAAAGGCCTCCGCCTGGGGCCAGAGGCCCACACACTCCCCACTCACGCTCCTACACAAGCCCCAGGAGGCAGAGTGGCCCTACCCACCAAGCACTGGGTGACTAGTGAGTGCCAGTAAGTCATGGACCCCTGCCAGGAGCAGAGCCAGGTGCCGCCCCTGTGTACAGTATGAGCAGCACAGGGAGCCAGGGAAGGCCAGGGCTCAAAGCCACATCTGGAAAGAAAACCTGGCTCAGGAGCTGGGAGGGGACACCTGGGGCCACCACACTTGGTGTGCACACCAGGGGAAGGGCTGGTCACACCAGGCCTGCCCTACCCCCATAGAACATAAGCTTCTGGAAGGCAGGCCCCTACCCGCACCTGGTTCCCAGCCAGCTCCTGGGCCAGGCTGAGGCGCTCATTTGCTGCCTGAATGAAGAGCTCCCCACAACTGGCCACGGGCCCAGCCCTGACTGCAAGATGATGAGGGCCCAGCCCCAGCTCCACCAGCTGCGGTGGAGACACACACCCTGCCACGTTCAGACAGACCAGCCAGGTGCCAGTAGCATCCAGAGACCACCCTGCCCCATCCCCAAGCCCACCCTCCCAGGGCTCAGGCCCAGGTCTCAGCAAAGAAAAACTAAGGAGGGAGACACAGAAACACAGCTGCCAAGGCAGGCCTTGCCACAGAGAAGGCTCAACCTGGGACAAGCCCTGACCGGAGAGGTCCACAGGGAGATGGTGCTACGACTGTGGGCTGTCAGCCCATCTTCCCCTAAGCAGCCCAGCAGAGCAGGGACCTGTCTGTCCACCCCCAGCATGGCCCTCTGAGGACTGGGCTGACACCTCCACGCACAGCGAGACAGGAGGAGTGAGGACGGTGGGCGGGCAGGTGGGCGGGCTACTCACAGGGTCCCGCAGCTCCTCGCTGTCCCGGAGCGAGGTCCGAGGGATCTTCAGGGGCACTTCGTCTCCACATTCGGTATCCGAGGCGTTTGGAGACTCTGCGAGATCGAGGAAGTCGTCTCTCTTGTGACCTCTGAACCTGATTTTGTCCAGCCTCCTTAGCATGTTCAGCACCGAGCTCCGCTGCTTTACCTTAACATGACGGTCGGGGTCCCTGGAGGGGAGGGAAGGGCACGGTCACCAGCCAGCTCCAAGAGCACCGCCCCACACACCGCCCTGCCCTGGGCTGTGACCAAGCTCCTGTGCTAGGGAGCAGCCAGTACAGCTTTTCAAAGAAAACCCAACCTCTAGACTCCACCTCTCGCCACACAGCAGGTGGACCATCACCCTGCCCCACAGTCCTGCTCCACTGCTGAGCTCCCCATGGGGCAGACAGAAGCCAGGGTCTGGGCCTGGCCCACCCAGGGGGCACCAAAACCCCAGGGTAAGGGAGCACGCAATGGACACCAAAGGAGGGCCAACCACTCCCAGAAGGTCCTCAAAGAAGCATCAAGCCACACACACTGCCCAGGACAGCAGCTAAAGCCTGGAAACCACCAGACAGAATCAGGAAAGCCTCAGCAGAGTCCCATGGGACAGGTGGGACCTGGTCCTGCATGCCCCCCGACTCCACTTGGCCCTGACCCCCAGGACCCTGCCCACCCTGTTTCAAACATGTTCCTATGCAGGGTCTGACCCTGGCTCAGCCTCCGAGCCTCCATCCAGGCCTCACTTCCTCCCAGAAGCCTTCCCAGAGACAGTGCCAGTGGCACCTCCCCCACCAGCCTAGGGCAATGGGGGAGAGGACCAGGAGGTGTGAGTCCCGTGTGTAAATTCAAGTGTGTGTGCACCAAGGATGCAGACAGCATAGGGTGCCTGCTCCCTACATCTGCCCCAGCTGGACCAGGAACAAGACAGCCCTGTCCCAAGGGGCAAGGTGAAGGTCTGTCCAGCCAGCCCTACTCAGAGGCCCACAGATGGGCCGGCCAGGAGAGGGGCCCCCAGCCCAACCCCATTCTCAGTCATGCACCTCCCACAGACGCCAGTCCTGGACTTCCACAAGATGCCAGGGTGCCCAGGTCCCCACCGGAGAGTGGGGCTCTGACACACCTGAGCTCAGAGCATGACTGGAACAGGAATGAGACCAATGAGGCAAAGAAATTCTGAGAACTCACAATGACACATACTGACTGGGTGGCCTGTAAGGAGGGAGGCACCTAGCTGGGTGCTCCCAGTGGCGTGGAGGTGAGGCAGGAAGGCCACCTCCTGTTGGGTCACTAAGGAAGGTCAGCTGCAGCAACATGCACCCGTCTGCAGCCTTGGCTCTCCCTCCTTACCCCGCAAGGCTCCCTGCCATCCTTGGCATTGTGACTGAAGTCAAGTCACATCAAGAAGACCCTCTAGCAGTGGGGACCCCAAGTCCTTCTTCAGAGTGCTCTGGAACTGGCTCTGAGCAGCAGGGTGGAAGGGGCAGTTCTCCAGCACAGGCACATGCAGGATGGCTCAGAACACCACAGGGTGGGCTGACACTGGTCCTGGTGCAAAACCCACAGGAAAGGGACCATGCAGAGCAGTCCTGACACCCGGGATCCCAAGTGGGCAGCACTGCGGGTGACAGGGGAGGTGGTGTCCCTACTCACAGGGTTGCAGTGTGGTCCTGACACCCTGGATCCCAAGTGGGCAGCACTGCGGGTGACAGGGAAGGTGGTGTCCCTACTCACAGGGTTGCAGTGTGGTCCTGACACCC